CAGGTATATTAGTCACTTTTCCACCAATGGGACAAAATACCTTACACCCAAAATTTAAGGAGGAGATGTTTGTTTTGGCTGATGGTTTCAGAGGGTTCAGTTCATGTATAACTAGCAAACATTCTCAGCGACATTCCTAACAACCCATGTTCAGGGTAGACCCATTTGGATGGATACAATAATAAACAAGTAAATTTTTGGAGACTGAAGGAGCCAGAAAAGAAACAAAGCCACTGGATATGCTAGGCCCCTCTCCCTGGACATGCCTAGCAAGTGTCCTATCCTGCTAGGGCCACCGCCCTTTACTCAATATGTCCTCACTCTTGTCCTTCTGCTTATCAGATCTGGGGACATAACATGGCATAACCATGCTCACTGGGGGCTAGAGCTGTCCCTCTTCCAGTTAGCCAGACTGAATAACCTGAGTCTCAGGAAAGGATGTCAGTAAAACCATTTGAAAGGACACAGCTACTTTGTGGACATAGAGAGAGAAAGAGAGACAGAGGAAATGCATGAGGAAAGACAGAAGCAGAAATTCCAAGAGTTCCATCCACTACCCACCACTCCTAAATAAGCTTAGTGGCACCCTTCAAAGTGCCCTCCTTGCCTGCCCCAGCCAAAATTGCCAGAAGTACAACCAAGGCTGAGGACCATTAACTCCACTCCACTGTCTTAGGAAGAGGACCTTGCCGTAGAATTAACAAAGGCTCAGGAAACTAAATCTGGATTTTATTTCCAATTCTGTCTTGACTAGGTGGGTGACTTTGGACAAGGTACTCATCCTTAACAAATATAGTCTACTTATCCACCAGTTGTGACCTGATCAGGGTACCACGTTCCAATAGTAAGTGAGTTAAAGATTTGTAGAGCCCCGGGGACCTAGGAGACATTGATAAAAGGGCTTCTCCAGTAGTATTACTTCATTTTAAAGCACACATCTCACCTCCTTACCTAGATTGCAACTCCAGGAGGGAACTTTAGTCCCCACCACACATCCAGTGTGCTGGGACAACTCCTAGCATGCGACACCTCAGGACGTGCACCTTGAAAATAACCACCCAGAGCAAGAGGCAGGAAAAGGAGGCAGGATCCCAGGAAAGGTGCAATGCCCCTGAAGCAGGAGGAGGCTGAGGCACATACTTCTCATCTAGTTGTAAAGCGCCTGTGTTCATTATTTTAACAGTTATTCGTGATCAAACGACTTGGTGTTAATGTGGATCTAATGTATAAATCCATACGGGTCCCACAGTCATTTAGCATTAATTAAACGAGGCCATTATAAGGCTGGGATTCCACAGGGTTTATTGCGCTTAGCAATTAATGACAAGAACCACTTGCCCGTTATGCTTTCTCTTCCTGCTCCTGCCCTGTCCCTTTTACCTCCGGAGGGCAGAGGCTCAGTAAGCTCACAGTTGCCCTGAGGTGGACAGTATGGGAACAGGGAGACTCCCGGCTGGGGGGTGGAGAGGTGACTGAGGAGGGGAGACTTCAGTGGAGCCCGGCATTGTTCCCCCAGGAACTGACACTTCATAAGGAAGCAATAAGGGCTGCACTGGCAGAGCACTAGCCTGGGAGTCCAGATAACAGGGTTTTAGTCTACTACTGCTGACTGGTTGTGCAATCATGCGCAAGACACCGCTTTCTCTGTTCTTTGTTAGTTAATTAAGGAGTCTGGACAAGCCAACTTTATCCTTCCCCCCCAATGCATCTCCTTTTAGGCATCTTTCAAATATCAGCTCACATGTCAGCTCTTCCAACAGGAACTAACCACCCTCCTGTCCCATCCTCTCCCCACCATCCCCAGCACTTGCCAGCATCTTGTCTCCATCTCATTTTCTTCGTGAAATTTACCACTGCTGAAATTATGTCTGCACTGGTGCTCCTTTGTTTACTTGTGTATTATCTCCGTGTCCACCTTACTTCATCCATCTAATCCGTCACTTTAACACCAATTCCCAGAACAGTGCCTGGCACATGCTAGGAGCTCAAAAAATAATTTGTCCATCAGTGGAATCAGTAAAACCACTCTATGATGGCCACGTGCTTGCCCTTGATACCCGTGTCCAGAAAGCAGGGGCGGTGCTCGGAGCAGGTAGAGCTGGGAGGGGAAGATGGAGGGAGGGGTAAGCTGAGGCCCAGTCTTAAGGGACAGAGGAAAGCTGGCCCCGGGAAGAGGAAAAGGTGGCTACTATAGCCTGAAGAAGTCAGGTAGAAGCCACAACAGCACCAAACTCTGAGGCTCAACAGGTGCTGTACCTTCAGACTTCCACCCAAGGCCATTTGGTGAAACTATATTAATAGTTGTTATGCAAGAACAACTATTCTTGTGATTGCATGCTTTCCCGCACTGCTTTGCTTTATTCTCCTGCCATCCTGTAGCTACTGGGCTGGAGGGGTGGGTATCTTCTGCTGCTTCTATGTATAAAATTGATAGCAATAATTAACTTGGATAGCACATTCCAGTTTCCAGAATACACTTTTCCCCAGTAAGAACGATAGTTTGTGTTTTTGTTTTGCAGAGAGGTGACGTGACTTTCTGACATAAGGAGTACAACGTCACACAGAAAGCAGGCCCTCGGTGAATGTCTGAGGCAGGAGTGGGCCCTGAACGCAGATGAGGACAGCAGGCCGGGTGTAGGAAGTAGCTTTTGGCGCTCAGCCTCTGTGTTGCAGGGACACGAGGGAGCGCTGGGGCCTGAGACAAGCTGGAGAGTATAAGCTCTGTGCAGCAGGGGACCACTGCAGTCACTTGTTATAAAGTGGACATGCGAGCCCAGGGTTACCAATGCCTGCCTCTTGGGAATTAGAATCGAACACAGGACCTTCACACTGAGCTACATCCCCAGCCCTTTTTATTTTTTTTTTATTATGAGATAGGGTCTCACTAAGTCATTAAATTACCCAGGCTGGGCTCAAACTTGCAATCCTCTTGCCTCAGCCACCCAGCGTGCCGGGATTACATGTGCTAACCTTGTGCCTAGATAATGAATTCTTGACATTTTCTGAAAAACGGACAGATACGTGGATCTCTACTGGAAATTTTGGAGTTTTAAATGTTGGCACTTAATTGTAAAGCACTGTGTAGGCCAAACAAACTATGCCTTGCAGGAGGATTTTGCTGTTGTTATAAGAGCTTTACTGAGGCATAATTGATATACAAAGAACTGCAATTCAGTACGTGAACTCTGCCGAGTTTAGACATACACAAACATCATGACACCATCACCACAGTCAGGGTAACAGGCATATCCCATTCCTCCCAAAGTTTGTTGTGTCTGTCCATGTGTGCACCCACGTGTGTGTTAAGAACACTTAGGTGAAACCTACCCTCTTAATAAAATTTGAAGTGCCCAATACCACACTATGAACTGCAGGCACTGTGTTGTAGAGCAGATCTCTAGGACTCACTCCTCCAGCATGATTGAAATTCTGTACCCACTGAATAACAATTCCCCATTCCTATATCTCAGGCCCTGACAACTTGCTCCCAATCTGGGATAGCCAACTGCATTCTCTGCTTGTGTGAGTTTGACTGTTGTATTTGTCGTGTGTAAATGGAACCATGTGGTATTTGTCCTTCTGTGCCTGGCTTACTTCACTTAGCACAATGTCCTATGGCTTCATTCATGTTGTGACAAATGGCAGGATTTCCTACTTTTTCAAGGCTGAATAATATTCCCTTGTGTGTATATACCATATTTTCTTTACCCACTCATCTTTGAGCAAGTTTCTACCCAATGTCCATCAATTTGACACTTGTAATTAAGTGAATAAATTAACCCTTTATTGGGAAGATGGGACAGACCAAAGAGTTAAGCCATGTCCCTGAGGTCACAGCACTCAGGGGGGCAAGCTTAGACCCCGGGTTTCCCAATGTCTCATCCAGTTCTTAAAATGTTGTTCCAGGGTTCCAGTGAGTGAAGGAAATGGTGCTGGGGACACAGAATTACATAGTTTTATGTCCTGAATCCACACGTTCTGCCCAATCCAGACTCTGAACCAGAACTCAGCCCCACTAAGCTGAAAGGTTCCCAAGGAAGTGTCATGGGCAGCCCCTCCTGCCCCTCTCCGTCCAAAGAGCAAGAGCCCCACACCGTCCTAGATGCCATATCCTCAGGCCACTTAGAATGCAGCACTGTCACACAAGCCAGCTGTCACTTAGGCACTCACAGGCAGAACCGTGGAAAAACCAAACCACTGTTATTATACTTAATAACCAGTTTCCACATCATCAACTCATTGGAGTCTGACAGGCGCTGTTAGGGTGTCAGCTCCTTCGGCCTAACAAGTCAGCACTCATGGGGGGCAGGGAGCCCCAGGCAGGGCTGCACGCCAGCCTCCAGGAGCTATTCCTTCCCCCTTCTGCCCTGTGTGCAGAGGGTGTGTACCCAAAGGCCCCTGAGCCTTTGACTGGCCTCTGCCCCAAGTACTCAGAGCCTGGGGGCTGCACCCACAGCAACCTGGCTTCAGAGCAGAGTGGCACCCCAGAGAAGGGGATCAGGACCCTGATGGGTATCTGAAAAAAAAGAAAGTACCCCGGCTTGGCAGAGTGAGGACCAAAAGGTGTGAAGGGCAGAAGGCCAGGGCAGGGCTCCTGGTTGGATCCTAACTATAACATGTGGCCTTGAGTGAGTGACTATCATCCTGAGCCTCAGTTTCCCTTGTAACAAGAGCCAGTGGCCCAGAGGAAGCACAGACACAGTGCTGAGGGTGGTATCTGCACCCTACTAAGCACCTGGGGAAGGGAAGATGCAAAGGCCAAGGGGCCTGAGGGAAACGGCCGAATGAGCGACGATTCAGAAATGACCACTGCAAAATGCTTCTACACTGGCTAATCCACTGGGGCAGGGCAAGTCTTCAGACTGTCATTAAAAATAGCTGGTAATAATAAAACCTAACATTCTCAAGGCTTCCCTTTCAGAGATGGAAACTCACAGAGATGAAGTTACTTACCCAAGGTAACCCAGCACGCCATTGGCGGCACTGGGCTTGGAGGCCAGGCGGTGAGCATATGGCCTGAGATCTTAGCCATCCTGCGCTTTCTCGCTCTGCTCCCCGCTTCCAGCCTGCGGATCTACAAAGGTGAGAGTGAGCAGGAGGCCAAGCTAGGTTATCCTGAAGTCTTGAGTCCTAGTAGAGACTGCTCCATGCAGGATGGAGGCCGGCATCTACAGTGATCTGCCTGTCGCTCTGGGTCGAGGTCTCACAAGCCACACCATCCACCAGGCCCACCCCAAGTGCCCAGAGACGTGGGTCTGGCTTGGCAGGTCCCCAAGCCAGGCCCATGGCGCGCACATCTACCTGGTGCCCCTCTTGCTGCCCCAGGCAGCACAGGCCTGAGGTGGTGTAGTGCTGCCATCTGTCGGCCGCACGCTGCACTGCTTCCCGGCCGCTCAGGTGGTGATCCCAGCCCTGGTCACCAGGCGCCCCGCAGCCAGGCTGCCTGTCCTGCAGGCTCGCACCTGGGAAGGACCTATTCCTGCGACCCAGTGGGGCCCAAGACGCAAGGCCAGCGGAGGCAGCCTCCGAGGGGCCTTCTGCTCTTGGAAAGAGACAGCGCGCCATGATCCCAAAGGTCCCAGGGTGCCTGAAATTGCCCCTTCCCTGGGCTACGACAGCAGAGCAGAGACAGGGCCGTGAGTGAGCAGGAGAGCACATCGCCCGGGACCTCAGGAGATTTGCTGCACGAGAAGCCACTCCGGCAATACCGAGAGCAGGTATCCCTGAGAAGTGGAGTGTGGGTGTGGGTACTGTTTGCTAGGTTGTCTGATTGTTTTGTTGTGATTATCCTCTTTTCCTCTCTCTTTTTTCTTTATGCTTAATTGGAGTTTCATATTTTCTACAATGCCCATCTTAAGAAATAATTTATGTTTATAAATCTGTCAGAAAGTAAATTTGCTTTTAACAGAAACACAGTACTTCTAGAGCAGAAACAAACCCTTTCACAGACAAAGAGAATCAACTCAGAGATAGGTGACATGTCCAATGTCACAGCACTAGTTAGTGGTCAAGATGGGCCAGAACATGTCCAGCATCTTGAGAAGCACTGGGCCCTTCCCTGACCCTCCAGCTAGGGCAGGGCCCTGTACTGGTCATGAGCAATACCTGATTTTCTGTGTTGGGTCTGTCTCTTCTACATGTTTCACAGGGGCAGGAAGCTTACCCATCTTGTTCACTAAGATATTCCCAGTATCCCTTGCAGCACATGACATATGGCAGACACTCCACAAATGCATATTAAATGAACAAATGGAGTCAGTCAAGGAAAGCTTCCATGGGAAGTGAGGTGTACATCAATTGTTTAAAAGGCAGTGGTACTGGATCAAGGGAGAAGATGTGGAACATCCCAGAGAAGATGGAATGCCCTAGAGCAAACAGGCAGTAAATATGTGTCCTGAAATACTTGTAGGCAAGGTGAGTGGCAGAAAGGCACGTACTGTCCTCCTATCTATCTTGGTTTCTGAGCTAAGGTCCCATTGCTCACGCCGCTTCCTTGCCTCATTCTGGGAATATGGAACAGAAGTCAGAAAGAGCCTGTCTCTGGGACCAGGGAGAGTCCAGTGGGAACTGTACCCCAGTTCAGCCTCCCTGAGACTTACAGGGGTCCAGCTGAGCCTACCTGAACCTGATGGTACTGGCTGAGGCCTGACTGGGCTGGGCTGGACTGACCAGGTCTGGGTGGGCACATTGGGCTAAGCTGGGAGCCTCTTTCTTGTTCCTGTCTTCAGGAGACCCCAATACCTGTCATGACAGCTGGATTTCCCAGGGTTCTAATCTAGAAACAGATAGCAGAGAAAATCTAGAAATAGTGAAGTCAGAGAGAAAAGGTAAGAGGGTCCAAATTCACGCAAGATCTTGTTTTCTGTGCCCTCTTTAATATCACTTTAGAAACACAAAGATGCAATGATTGTGTTGAAGGATGGAAGCCATTTACTATGTCTAGATACAGATAGGAAAGTCTGAGGGAAAAATGAAAATTTTCAGCGGGGTGAAATTTAAAAAAACTGTTGAAAGGAAAAATTTCTTGTCTAAATTTTTTTTTTTTTGAAAAGTCCCTCAAAACGTTCTTGGCAAAAATCTTTATTTCCTAGAGAATGGCATATAATGTCTATTTGTCGAGGAGGCCAGGAGGCCTGGCCCCTCCCTCCAACCCCAGTCAGGGAGGAGCCGTGTACGTACTGAGCACCTGCTGGCGGCCAAGCTCTGGGCGAGGCTCAACCTGCCTATTATCTGGCTGACAAAAATGGGGCCACCTGTAGATTACAGGCACATGCAGCTGCAGCAAACCCCAGTCAACTGACATCATTCACCTTAATACCTGGGGGGTGGGGTCTCTGCTTATGCCAGGCTTGTCTGCCACAGGCCACTAGGCTGTTCTCAGACCTAGCAAGCTTTTGGAAAGTGGGGTGCACATGCTAGTGTGAGGCACCTCCCCCCACCCCCCCCAAGCACTCTGTGACTAGCACTGAACAGACCTCAGCCCCACTTTGAGCGTCCAGCCTTGGTCCCTCCCGCAAAGCCCCTTAGCACCAAACCCTAAAGAGCTGGGATGCTGACGAGCGCCCCTGAAGGGAACTGGGGTCAGGGATAATTGTTTATTGTTTCCGAATGAGGAACAAAGCTTCAACTGGGAGACAGCAAAGAGGGAAAGACAGAGAACAATCCAGTGAAAGAGACCAAAGAAAACAGACACGCACTGAGAGAAAGAGAAAGAAAAATGGAGAAGTGAAGAGAAATGGAGGAAAAAATGGCAGAGAAACAAGAGGAGAGGGTTGCAGAACACGGCAGGAAAGGAGAAAGGAACAAAGGATTGATCAACAGGTAAAGGACCAGAGAGAAGAGCAAAGGCTCCACCCCCAAGGGGGCCTCGAAGCCCCCCTCCACCCTCCCAGCTGAGGAAAAGGAGGCAAAAGAAGAGCAGAAACGGCCAAGTCGCTGGGTAACCTTGGAAACAGAGCCAGGGAGATGGGTGCGGGGAGGGGGTACTGCAGGAAGGGCTGGGTGCAGCCCTCAGTGGTCCAGGCTACTGGGATGGAGGTGAGAGGAGGGGACAGAGACCAAGGAGAGAGACTTGGATGAGCTGGGGGGGGGGGGGAGGAAGAGACAGAAGACTCTGGAAACAAGCCTAAGGAGCTCCGAGGAGTTGGAATAAGGGGAGATTTTACTGAGAATCAGTTTCAGGAAGAAAGAGCAGGGAGGTTGGGAGCTGTGATAACAGGAAGGGGGTGAGGCTGGGGGTGGGTGGAGGTGAGGCCGGAAAGGGCCATCCCAGACAGCCACACTGAAGTGAGGAGAAGGGTCAGCAGTGGGCAGAGGGGCACGGGAGGAGATGGTCAGGGCAGACTGACCCTCATCTGTGACCTGCTGGATTCACCCCTGAGGCCATCACATTCGGTGAGGACACAGGGCTCTGACTCCCAGCTTCTTGGAGGGTGAACCCTTTCATTCCTTGGTGTCTCACATTCTTGCTGTGCTCCAGCTGTGTGCCAGGTACTGTGAGGGCAGCCTGCACCACCTAGTGAGACCCTGTCTCAAAAACAAACAAACAAACAAACCAAAAACAGTGAAGTTTTTCAATGTTCTCAAAGAAATGAAAAATGCGTGAGGTGACACACATGCTACACGGGGACCAGCAGACAAACGTGTACCGCCAAGACGCGTGTGAACCGACCAGGAGGATGTGGTATCTGAACAAATAACAAAATGACTGTGACACGGAGCGACTCCAGGATCGCTCACGGCCAGCAGCACAGGCCCATCGGAGGAAGCCAGTCCTTCGGGCCATGCTTGAGTCAAGCCCTAAAGCGTGGGAGGGCTGAGACCAAGCCGGGAACTTAGTCAGTGGAGAGGCAGCAGGAGCCCAGCAGGGGGCAGGAGAGGGAAGTGTGGTTTGAATCCTGGGTCAGCCGCTGACCAGCCCTAGGACCTTGATCAAGTCACCTGGCTTTGCTGAACCTCTCTTTCCTCATTTTGTAGAATCATTTCAGGATTGGGGATGATATCTGTGTGCTCCCTAGCACACAACAGGAGCTTAATACGTGATAGTTATTGTCGTTGTGAAGAAGCAGAAAACACTGAGCTGGAACAAGAGTGGTTAGAAATGAGCTAGGCACGGAGGCTTAATCCTCGGCATAGATGTCTACAAGGGCCAGGAAGAAATGCACTGGGGTGGGGTGTGGGGACTTTCCAAAAAACATTCAGCAGAGCCATGGATGGTATCTGGTAAAGAACTGGATGGCTTACTTTTATGAGAAAAATAGAATAGTGGAGAGTGCGGTGGTTTTTAAAATGTGTCCACATTTTGTAAAGCAACTCCTTTTATTAAGAAAATAAAATGAAGCTTCATTCCTGTAATCCCAGCACTCGGGAAGCTGAGGCAGGAGGATCATTGTGAGTTCGAGACTCTCCTGGGCTACAAAATGAGCTCAAGCCCAGCCTGAACTGCATAGGGAAACCCTGTCTCAAAAAGACAATAAATAAATAAAATAAAAGAGAGCTGGGGATGTAACTCGGTGCAAAAGCCCTAGGGTTCAGTCCCTAATACCAAAGAGAAGGAAGAAAAAGTTTCAAAGTTCTCATAGAAAAAATAAATTCTGATGTTCTACTGCATAGCAGGTGATTCTAATTAACAAAAATGTATATTTCAGAACAATAAAGAGGCAGGCATGGTGGTGCACACCTATAATCCCAGCACTTGGGAGCCTGAGGCAGGAGGACCACTGGGTGTTTAAAACCAGCCTGCACCACCTAGTGAGGCCCTGTCTCAAAAACAAACAAACAAACAAACAAAAAACAGTGAAGTTTTTCAATGTTCTCAAAGAAATGAAAAATGCGTGAGGTGACAGACATGCTAATTATTCTGATTTGGTCAATACACAGCATATACATGTATCAAAACATCACATTGTACCCCTGTACAATCCATAGGTGCCAGTTAAAATATATATGTAATAAAGTTTAAAACAATTTTTTCAGTGAAGCCTCATTCTTCTTCTTGGGAGTGGGACCAAAGTTAATGACTCGTTTCTAATAAAAAGAATAGAAGCGACAGGATGACTTCTGGTCCTAGGCCATAGAAGACAGCAGCTCCTTCTGTGCCCCCTCTCGTGGATCTCCCACTCTAGGAAAAGCCATATGCGTGTGGTGTGGACACTCAAATGTGGAGAGGACCACACAGAGGACTGAGGCCTGTCCAGCTGTCCCATTCACAGACCAGGCGAGCAGCCATCTTGGAGGTAGGTCCCGCGGCCACCGTCAGACCTTCAGATGTGACCAGATCCACAGGCAACATCTCAGCTGCACCCTCAGGAGAGTCCTCAAGCCAGAACCATCCAGCAAAGCCATTCCTGAGTTCCTGACCCACAGAAAGAGTGTGCAGTGATACCTGTGTGTGTTTGTTGTAAGCTGCTAAGTGCTGGGATAACCTGCTCCACAGAGGTTAGAGATGGGGTCTGGAGCCATGTCCACCAACAGGGCATCCCACACCCAAAAGCCCCATAGTAGGCACCAGCAGCCCTGCCACAGGCGGAGCTCTCAGTGACCTCAGACAGCCTGGTAGTGTGGGGCCGGGCAGGATCAGATGGCTGAGCACCCCCAGGAGAAGCAGCCGCACTGAGTGAGTTCTCCCTGTCTGGCTCTGCATGCATGACACAGGCAGGCAGTTCACCTAGGCCAGCAGGCGGGCCAGAGTAGAAGAGTGCCCAGGTAGTGTCCACCTCACCTGGCCTCGAGCTCCAGCCTCCCCCCTCTCATCTTGCTTATGTGACCTTGACCCTCTGTGTCTCACTGAGGCACCCTTGCCCTGTTAACCTCTCTGAACCGCAGTCTCTTCCTCTGTGAAACAGAGCTGATAACAGTACTGGATCCATGCTAAATGGGGTCAGGGGGGAATGGGTCTTCTGGCCTTTCTCATATGTTCAGGACAATTGTGACAGTGAGGACACTCTCACTGAGGCCTGCAATACTAAGTATGCTCCTGTAGTATAGAATTTAAACTCAAGGATACCAGTTTATTTTGTAGAAGGAATTCCAGTCTCTTTCTGAGGCCTTCTCATTAATTAATTGTTGGAAACCCCAAGAAATTCTGACATGGGGCAAAGATCTCCTCCCTGCACATCTGCTAGCTCCCTTCCTCCAGCAGTCTTCATCTTTGTACCCACTCGTGTGGTGCCCATGTCAGTGTCCTGTGCATGTAGGGAAAGGGAAGGACATATGGGATCGATGGATGGATGGATGGGTGGACGGATGGGTAGGTGGATGGGTGGATGGATGGATGGATGG